CCTGTGTATAAATCTTGAAAATATATTTCTGTGTTTCTTTCTTGTTTGTAGAATGTTGGAAAACACACGACCTGAAAAGGCAGTAGAATTATATGAACGTGCATGTGAAGTTGCTGAAGTAAGTCAAACTATATCTGACTATAAATTCTTATTTCCTGGATGAGTTATCCAAAGTTGAACATTTGTACTGTAAAATCTGTATTAGTAACCGAGACTTCTATTAAAATGGTACACTGTGACAGGGAATGTAGCTTCAATTAGAGCATTTACACAAATGAGAAGTAATTAATTTTGGGTTTGCATACAGTATGCCTATAACATGGTGTTAAGGATGTAGTAGACTTTCGTGGTGATTTTTTTTCATACCTATAGGCAGCCATACGCCCTTGTTTTTTTATTAAATCACGTTTTTATTTCAAGAAAAAAACAGCTTTTTAAAAAATAAAAAATAATTTACAATTAACGGAAACCCCGGGAATGTGCACTTCAGCTAAGCCCCTCTGAGTCAAAACAATAACATTTGTAATTAGCTTAATCCCGCAAATAAACATCGCGTATACGCGTCCGGTCAAATGACCAGATACACTCACTCGTTGCTGATAGTTCATTGCATCGCTTCTCTACTATATATTACTGTTCATTTATTTTGTTTTGACCAAGTTTATTTGAAAAATGGCACAGGGAAAAATTGGAAAAGAGTGTCCAATGACAGGCGAAACCTGCAAATTTATGAATAGCAGAAACCGTATTTTTTACTACGAAACACAGTCCCTCTACGAAACAAAGTCGGACGAGTCGACAACAGACAAGTCGAGTGAAAACCCAAGTGACATCTGCTCCACCGCACTGGAGACTGAGGACACCACCGTAACTACCTCGAATGCTGACAATGAGGACACCACTATACTGTCATTGGAGGCTGACGACCCAACATCAACATACAGGATGAGCATGATGTTGAAACGAAAAATATCGCCAACGAAGTCTGCAGTATCTAGTAACGCTTGCGGTGAAGCGAATAACACGAGGCTCGTCGACCGGGATATATTGATTTCGAATCTGGCTGACCACTGTAAATGTTCTCGGTGTAAAAAGGGAAAAATAAATATCCATCGTTATGGATGGGAATCTCACTTTAGTTTCTGGTGCACATGCGGCCTTTCGAACATAGCACATGCACGCGGATTGGCTAAGAATACGAGGTAGTCAAAAATAGACTAATCAGGTCCATTGTGTCATGTGGGACGGCAGACTGACTTTCAAATTTCAGTGACGCATCGGTGATTCGTAGACAAAGCAGTTACACGTACATTCTTAGCTCTTGGAAATGAAAACTGTTTTGTGCTGGTAATAATTTGATAACAATCGTACTGCAAGTCGACAAAACTGAACTAAACGAAACTCCGATTGTAAGGAGTTATAGAGCAAAAACGACGACCTGTAATTCACGGCAGTACTGTCGGCAAGCTTGACTGACTTGCTTCCAAGCGGATTCAGTCAGCAAATAGTAGGCCCTTTTTTACTTCAATTACAATTTTTAATTGATATTCAACAACAAAAGTGTCATCGCCGATATTTAGTAAAAATAAAAAGCGTGGCTTTACCGAGTACTCGCGTCTCATTATGTAGTTCAGGTGCCGTGGCTTACGAGAAAGTTGCGAGAAAAGGAGCATTAGACACAACAGTGTTCAAGTTTAATGGTCACATATCACGTTTGTACATAAACAATTGCCAAGTTTGTTGTGATATTGTATAACACTCGAAACTAAGCTTGTCAAGCAAATAAATTTAAATTGATAACGGGATTACACTGTTTATTCAAGGGCGGCCGTTTTCACGTTGCTTTTTTCAAATTATCGATTTTTTCATAACTTTATCGGCCATGTACCAAATGTGTTCTTCTGATTTCTATAAAACCAACACAATAGCTATATTAAACATCAAAAAATAACTGAATACGATGCGCTGAACAGAAAATATCCTCTCGACTGTGCTACTTTTGGTTTTTGAGTCTTTTCAGCCATTTGAAACGTAACTTGTCTAAAACCACAAAAATCACGATTACGCGAACAGTTCTTGTCCGATTCCATTGATTTTTTCAGAGATTGAACTCAAGATCATTTGACAACAAAATGTAAAATATTTTTCAAGTATCAGTAATATTTCATTACTAATTGACCTGTGAAAAGAGAGCACTCTAATTTATTATAGAATTCTTCTCCACCACTTTGTAAAAGAACCAAGCATTCAGAAACTATCTCTTTTACATTATTGTTAAGAACATTGTAGTCTTCCTTTTCTCATAAAAATATATTGGCTAACTGTTTCGTTTTCTAGTGG